ATTTTTATTATTATTATTATTATTAGACAATCTCGAGCGGCGAAAACTAGCAATCTTTGTATCTAGCACTGCAAGTAGCCAACTTTAAGTAACTTTACAGACTCTCTAGAGGGATTTGCCGAGCACTCGCACTCGTAAAATACAAAGTAAAACAGATTGTACTTACACGCGAGAGGCGGATGCATTAGATTAGGCGGCGAGCGAAATGGAAGCGGGAGTAAAAGCACGCGCTGCCGTCGCATGCTTAAAAAGAACATAGGGGAGGAAAATATAAAAGACATAATGTTCAAATCTCCTTAGCGTTCGTTAGCCTGCTCGCGATCCGTTATCGAACGTACGAAAAGCCAAAGAGAACCGAATAGAATTCAATATGCCGCATTGGGCCTGTTTCAATCTATAAATACAACACATCTACACTCACACATCACCATCTGATGTTTGTTTCTTCGGACGCCATATTGGATTATGTTTATTTTCTTCTAAAAGCGATTGTTATCCACTCTGACACGTTGATGTGACCTGAATTCAGGCTTGTTTTTTTTATTTCGTGCACTCTCGTCAATTTATTTCGCACGCCACGCCCCGGTATTCTTATCTCGGCCGCCATCTTGTAGAGGTAATGCATGTAATGCATCTGAGAAACGTTATATTCCGTATAATGTAATGTCAGTAACGTAAATGTGCGTTCATACCCGCCGTCACCGGCGCCTCCACCATTATTACTCGTATCCAAAACGACCAAAAACTTTGCGAATAAAAGCACGGCGAAGCTGAAGGGCGTTGTGCAGCTAGCAGCAAGTACAATGATTGCGTCTGCGATGGTAGAAAGGACACACAAAGAGTAAAAAATGGCCGCGCATAAAACGAGTATCGTGTGTGAGGGTGAAAAAAGTCGAAAAAGTCGTTACAAAGTCTAGGAAATGGAAGTAACACAACGCCAACGCTTTGTCGGCGTTGCTGCTTCATTACACATATCCTCGTGCAATTTTCTATTTGCCAAGTTTTCAGAGAAATCGTATCACACTGTGAGCGTATGCATTGCTTTAAGTTTTATTTTTTATTTATGCATATGGAATATTTCATGCTAATATTTTGTTTGTTTTTGTTCCAGGTAAGCACTGAAGTATTTTTCATAAAACCAGAAGGTCGCCTAAGGTAATTTCCAGAAGAATTAATTTACTTGATTATATACGACCGACCTACAGCGTACAACGAAATCATTTTAACGTCGTATTGAAATGTGGAAATGCAATATTTGAAATGATAAATGGCAAACGTTTATTTAAGCTGGTATCGTTTATTGAATCTTTTGTCCAGTCTGTTATAATATTATCGTTTCACCTGTCGGCGACTGCTAGCTCGAAGGTATGCCACCCACCGAGCGCTGAACAAATGGCGGCAGCCGTGAATGTCAATTTTGCGCTATCGATATATTTTGCCATTGAATTTCTAAATTAAACTGCGCAACGGAAATGCAAAATGTGAAATAGCAGAAAACAATGTGAATATTTAATGGAAACTTGTAGCAGCCCTGAGGCTTATTTACTTGCAAAACATAATTTTAAAATGTCACAAACGGTGGTCTTGTTTTTTAATTGAAATTTTTTTCTCTTGGTTAAAATTTATTTCTACCACAAAGGAAAATACAGGTGAGCGTGGATTAAATAAGATGAAAAAAATAAATTTATTTTACAGAATTTATCTAAACGTGTGTGTGCATACTGATAAAAGATCTGACACACGGTGAGGAGATTAAATGATAACCGAATTTCTGTATTCAGCATTTTAATTAATTTGATATGTTTTGTAATTAAATACAAATATTTACGGACGCGCACGTCACAAAGCGCTTTGTGGTGTCATATACTCACGCATATTAAATAAATATATTCGCTTAAATTATATTTGAAAATTTAAAAAACGTAAACTGCCGTTGCCTGCCGAAAATATCGAATGCAATTCCCTGCTTAGCCATTCGCGAGCGCAGATATAATAAAATAATAAAACATGCAGTAGCTGAAATGTTAGTCTAGAGGCGGCTATGCAAATAGATCTGCAAATATGCAAATTCAGCGCGTCGCATCCCTGCTCCGGCAACCATCCCCACGAGGCGTTACGCTTATATAACCATGCGTTCAAATGTCGTACCAAACTGAATTCCAAAGTCGAAAGCTTCGAAAGCTCTGAAAGTGACAGGCATTAACTGATAAAATCATCACGTCGAGTTTGAAACTTTCTTCAATTTGTACGCTTAAAAAGTATACGGCATTTAACTTGTAAGCATATACCAACTGTGCAGAAGCTAATTTATAGCTAGGCAACTCAAAGTACAAACATTAGTAATGCTTTGTAATACTAGTTGCAGCAACCGTACAACTAGATATCAAACATTTACGTTGTGTTTGTAGCTTTTGTACGTCTGATTTCCTTTGTTATTATTTTGCGAAAGCGTGGTCGACGCAGATGCTACGCGATGCCCAAAGACGACGCGTGGGCACAGCGGAAATGGGCTTGCAAATGGATCGTGATTAACGTAATTGGAATCTCACAGTGGAGATTAATTACGATCGTATTTTACTACTAAAATTACAAGTGCGCCGCATATTGTTGCTAAAGCACAAAAAATAATCGCATTAACTCTAGAATTTATTGGTTTCTTTAGTGCCCTGTATGTTACGAGTGTTTTATTTTGCTGATGCAATTCTTTACATTGCTATTCTGTTTTTGTTTTATGTATTTTGCATTTACATTTATCTTTGCTTCCGTTTGCATAAAGATTTCCGGTTTTCCGGTTTTTTCTGTGTTGCATTTTTCTGCTTGATGGTGATCTAGGCGTTATCTGAAATGACTGACCGAAATTCCAACTTTATTGCCTCTTTGTCTCCATTATTTTTCCATCATAATAATAAAACAGACATTTGATATTAACAAATCTCAAATATTTACGTACGTCTAGATAATTATAATTATATTTTTGAACTCCCAACGTCTAACCTTTCAAGGATAAATATTATGTTGAGAAGCAGCAATATTATATGTTAGTTTTGTGGGTGAAATTGTAGAAATCGTGAAGGGATCGCGTGTCTGTCCGACATTAAATTTCGCCAGTTGTACGAGTTTCCTTGTGTGTTGAGGTTGCACGACCCGAAAGTTTCGGCCGAACGATGTGCCCGCAGGTAGATTTATTACGTCAGACGCATGCGAAGGGTACGAATCTACGTTTTGGTTAGTTGACCGGCGCCTCCACCAAATCTGAAATTGTATTTGAACTGATTGCAGTGTAGCCACGACAAATAACTCATTTGCATGGAATTATATTGATTTGTGTCTTGGGTAGAATTCAGTAGATTAGTTTTTATTGGTTAAGTGCTGATTTTAGATTAAATAGTGGTTTGACTAGTTAGAGCGGAAGTTGGTGGATGCGCCGGAGAGATATTTGCCCACACGCAAAGTTTCCAACAATTTGTGCAATTGCAAACATACTCTGCAATTTGCACAAACGGGTAGAAGCTCATGTTTTTACATCGTTGATGGGATATTTACATAAAGTATTATTTCCTGTGTATTTTGCTATTCTGTAATAAAAATATTCATACTCGTACTTAAATTTTAAAATCAATTATTGATATTTATTTTTTCTACAAAGGCGTAATTGAACGTGAATTAGGTAGAATTATTCAAGACTTGAATAAACATTTTACGCTGCTGTGCTGCGAAGTACAGACGATTTCCCTTGAATGGTGATAAAGCGTTTTAGATGAGCGTCCAAAGCACTGATTGGAATTCGAAATTACACACGCTGCAGTAATGAATCTCAGTTCGATGTTTTTCGAGTAAATTAAATATCACCGAAATTAGGTCGTTATTCTAGGAATTTTCACTGAAAGACGACCTTTATTTGATGATCTCTTTGTAAACATGACTTAATTAAATTAAGATAATATAGGATTATGAGTTTCCATGATAAAAAAAATGTATATTCAAAGTGATAAAAAAAATTAGGAATTTAAAATTTAATTTTATATTTTATATATTGCTAAGTTTTACGTTGATGCGCATGCGCACATTGCTTAACTTTACCCTTGACGATAAAAAATGCGTATAAATTATTTTACTTTTCACCGCATTATTTATACATTCCGTAATTGCTGAAAAGTTTCTTCTCGCACGCGTTTGAATGCTTTGCATATTCGCTTGCTCAACAATTTCGCAATTATTGCTCGCTTTTTCGCTCGCCGCGGCAATTTGTATGTTTGATGTGACGGTCGCGCGGCGCTAATTTGCTAACTCGGGCGTGCATCCCTTCTGACCACCATCACAGCCAAAAACCGCCCAACCCTTCTGTAACACCATAACACCACACAGTCCAAACCCGCGGAACGTTCGGAAATCTTCACTGAAACGAACGCGTGTAATCCAATTACTACGCGCCCCTTTACCAGAACCGCACCCTTAACACCAAACCCCTCAAAAAACGAAAAGCAGTTAATCAGTTTGCATAAATTTTCCTAATAAAAATCGAGTTTTTGTTAACAGAAAAAACTTTTTTGAAGGGTTAATTGTGGGCTGCGACCAAAGTTATAATTATCGCAGATGATTTATGCTTGTGTTTGTTGGATTGAAATAAATTACGAATTATTTCTGTTTATGGAAATTTAATTTTCGAGTGAGTTTTGGAGTTTGTAAATCCATTAATGCGCATTGTCGCTGAACAATAATAAATAAATTTTAAATGGATCAGAACAGGAAAATGCGATTTCCGTGCAAATTAAAACTTGATCTGAAATAACGTTATTCGAAATTGTATAATGCGAATATACAACAACGCGTAAACGTATTTTACGATGAAAATTACGAACGCCATAATTACTTCGGTAATATTTAATAATATTTTACGTACAGTAATATTTATATAGACATATAGTCAATATAAATATTATGTCTGCAATACTATAATAATTTAAATGTTGCGTTATTATTGTTCAGTGTATTGTTAATTGCCTTATCATGAAGTTCATTTTATTTTTATTTATTGCTCCTGTCGTTACATCGGACTCTGTGCGTTTTTATCTCACGAATCCAAATGTTAATTCGTTATTATACAACGCCAAAAATCAATCTCCATGGTTAGCCGCCTTCGATTCCGATTGTACCACAGTATTCCTTGTCCATGGCTGGATGGGTATTATTTATCCGCTACTAAACGAACCCCTACAATCAACGGTGGACGCTTACCAGCAAGTGCCCACCTCATCCGGTTGTTACAATGTGGTCCTCGTTATTTGGAGCGCTGCCAACACCCCGGATTATTTATCGGCGGCGAAAGCTGTAGTTCCTACTGGAAACACCATTGGCGACTTTATTTCTAACCTCTATCAAGAATCCGTGCTTACTGGAAGGGTCGATTGCACGGGTCATAGTTTAGGTGCACATGCTTGTGGTAATGCTGGTAGACGTCTCAATACGCTGGCATTGACGCCCTTTGAAGTGATCACTGGTCTCGACGCTGCTGGACCAGCATTTACATCTATTTTAATTCCGCTTAATATGAGCTCGAAAAAGTTGTCCAAGGGTAATGCTAGGATTGTGGTTACACTGATGACGAACGCTGGTTTAGCCGGAACTGCTGTGCAACTGGGAGATGTTAATTTTAAAGCTAATGGTGGTAGTTGTCAACCCGGATGTGCTCCTTTGAATTTGGTGTGCAGTCATATGCGTGCTGTGGCATTATACGAGGAAGCTGTTCTGCATGACTGGTTTGTGGGAGAGTCTGCATGTGGGGAGACTGCTGTGTTCGGCAGGTCTATGTCATTGAATGTGGTGCCAGGTAGCTATGGATTCACGACTGGTTCCAATCCGCCTTATGGACAGTGCAATCAATAAAGATCTTTCAGATGTAGCGGTAATCCTAATCTGGCATTATGGTCAAATAGATTTTGGAAATGTCCTTCCTACTTTTCTTTTCATTTCTTCCTTCGACTAAGCTGGTCGGAGACTTTTTTTTACGTGATATATGCAATACGTTGCTATGGCATTTTCTAAAGAAGGTGTGGTGTTTTTTTTCTTCGAAAAGTTGTTTTATGATTATTTAATAAAAGGTCACAAAACCGAACCGAACCGAAACGCTAGGCAAAGAGTGAGCCACGTAGGAGAATCGTAAATTTTCCTTTTTTTGGGTTACCATTCCAGAAAGCAAACTCGTAAAGAGAATTTATGAAATTTTCTTGCGCTTCCCTGCAAAAGCTTGCTACATTAAAAGCTGAAAAATAATAACGCGTGAAATTATTACCAGATTTTGACTTTGTTCTAGTTTTAAATTGAAAAATACAAAAATGTGAATTAAAGTAGTTTATGACACTCTGTTAACATGTCCCAAGAGTTCTATTCATTTTTTTGGCGGTAGTGGTGGTGTACATTACCAAGCGAACGGGTGTGGAACAGCTCTAGATAGAGTGGACCGTTGTTCATGCCCAGGAGGACTATACACAAAACCGAGGGCTATTCTCTTGAGATGATGACAAATGGAGTAAAATCGAACGGACCGCCGAAACGCAGATAATTTGGTTTTAGTCAGCAGAATTTCGACCTAAACAAATTTTATAAAATCAAAAATGCTCGAAATGTATTATGCGGTTAGTTTGGCATCTTTCCGGTTGGTGAGGATGTTTGAAAGGCAAAAACTTTGGCTAGGCATCTGGATCATGTTTTGATTCGGTAAAAAACAAACTTAACCTAGAAAAACGAACATTTGGAAAAGCGTAGGAAATCTAGTAAGCAGAAAAAAGTGGGACGACCGGAAGTCAGGTCATTAAATTGATTTTGCCGGAACAAACATTTTTTTCTGTATCAATTTGCGCAAGTCATTAACTTTCAAGCATCGCAAAAAGTTTCAACTTTTCAGAAATTCTAATTACTGTCGACGAAATTTGTTCTTGGTTCACACGTTTTCTTTCTTGTTATATTTGTTTGCTGTTTTCTTATTTTTGCACATTTTCTGCGTAAAGTTTGTTTTATTTTATGCGCGTTTCCCGAGAGCCGGATACCTTCCTACGTCTAACACCGGAATGTCGTGGCCGTGGCCGACACGTAACTTTCCGGAATCAAGGGGTGCGCTCACTTATTGAGTCGGAGGTTTGGGGAAAGCGGGTCGGGTCAGGACGATACTGTTTGTCGAAAATATCGAGGGAGAGGAACGTTTGCAACGAAAAACGATTTAGTCACAGCCCATTTGCTGGAAACCTTTTTTTCTTTTTCGTTTTTCACTCTCTTGATGCGCGAAAGAGAAAATGAGAAAAGAGTCATAAAGTTTACGAATTTTGTTTTTCCAAGATTACTTTTACATTTAAACAACATTTGCAAATATTATTGATCTGAAAGGTACAAATCTACATAAATTTAGATTTGGGGTAAATTCACTTGGATTATTTTAATACGTGCTGTATCATTAATAGTGATCATTTCAGGATTATGTACTTATGAAGTTTTGATTTAGTGTATTACATGATTTAATTTTAGCATACTAATTAGATTGTTATGCATATAAATTATAATTGGATTTTCTGCAATGTAGATGTGAATTCAAATACCTATTTTTGTGATAATTGACAAATGCTGACTGAATAATAACAATTTTAACATCAAAGTAGATTATATATAGTTGGAATAAAATATATTTCATGTTAAATCTTGTTGTGCATTCGATCTAATTAGTTTACTAAAATTAGTTTGATATTATTTTAAAACATTGAGAATATATCACAAATCGATTTTATCTAGCGAAAAATTTGTATAAATGATCAGAATTATTAGAACAAATAAAACTTTTTGAACCATAAAAAGTTATTGCAATTCATAACTATAATCTCCATTTAGTGCTTGAACATGGCAAAACTAATAGGCTTATTTATCATGCGGGCGAATAAAAATGAAATGAAACATTTGATGGTATTTTGTTAATGACGTAAATTTGTAGTTATCAGCATCTATCATGTATCAAATGATCATTAACGTATAAATCATAATAATCACCAAAGTTAGTAGGCAGGTTTCTCATTATTTCCTGGAAGTGAGCAAGTAATTGCTTATTTCCTTCCTAATATTCTGTTGAGTTTGTAGTTTCTACTACATTTATCAATGTTGCTAGTCTATCATAGGTAAGATACATCGCATAAATCTTTACTTGTAGGATTACTTGTTGAAGCAAGAATCTATTGAAGACGAAAACTTTAGATATACATAATCATGAACAATCCATTGTGTCCTATATTATCTTGCATCTAAGACTTGAGTTAATTAGTTTTTGCTTTGTCTAAAGTTATAATCTACAAATTTGTTTTAATAGAACAACACAAATTAATATTTATTTTTAAACACCGTTTTGTGCTTTCTGTGTAAGGTGATTAAAAATAAATAGTGGCCGTCTAAAATACTTCAGTGTTTTTCTTGGTTCGTAATGGATTACTTAGCATTTACCTGCTTTGAATGTTGTCGGCGCCTCCACCATTTCACGACGTAGCACACCTGCGGCCAAACCTTCAACATTTTCACGTTTTCGTGCACGAGATAATCTACCGATGGCATGTTCAGTTTTCTTTCTGCGTAGAAAACAGCACACATACGAAAAACACGGTTTTGCTAAATATTTGGAAGAAAACTATATACCTATACATACATACATAGACAAAGCCAAGTGTAGTTGAATGTTGGTGAATGCACTAATAATGTTAACAATTCTCGCATGTTCGAGCACAAAAACAATCGCGCGCACTAGACGAAAATGTGTAGCCGTGGAAATTCTAGAAATGCGGAACACAAAGGAAAACTCTAACGTGAAAACACATGCATGAATAATATAATTATAGTCTGCATTGTTTCCCAGTACCCACCTGCGTTTGTTGATTTCATTGGTTTTTGAGTGGAAGCTTGGAAAGTAAAATATTTTTGCTTTGATGAATCTGGCACATGTTCTGATATGGTTAATACTGGGTTTCAGCCCGTGGAATAATTATTTATAAAATGTTTTGCGTATTATTTTTGTACGTGATATACTTGTTTTATTATGAAATATTTTATTTCGCACTGAACATTTGTATCTCGAAATATTTCCGTCTGGATGTGTTTTTCACCCGGCAGGCGGGATTTATCCGTTAATGTCGTTTGTCGTAAGGACCAGTCGTAGTCGCTCAGTTCGGTTCCGGCGAATCGCCCTACTTGCTTTCCAGCTTTCAGTCCTCGACGTTCCGCAACTTTCATTATTAAACGCTGCACGTACGCGCCGCGCAGATATCGTTTCATTTTAGAACAGTCAAGTGCTGCTGAGGACCCGCGCCAAGCACTCGCAGGACGAATGGTTGGCTTCCCGCTTAAAGGTTTAATTATATTAAAGTTTCACCGGCATTAGTCGTATACATTTTACACCAAACTCGATTTAACAAATGCCCAACAAATCACAGGGAAAACAATTCGGTTTTATTCTATTTTTTTGGATATAGAATAAGTATATACTTACGAAGTTTGAAGAGTGCAGAGTGATTTTTTCTGTCTACGCAGTTTTCGAAGGTTCATCCTTATCAAATTTGTGTTGATATATTTTTTTCGTCGAGACAGCACGGTTTCCTTCGTTTCGTATTTTCTTGCGTCTCTACGTTTCGTATAGTTGGTGTTTTACGGCCCTCTCTGCTGGTTTTGTTACCGGCGCAGGTTTAATCAAGTTTTCTCTCGCTTACTTCTAATCTTGCGCACATCTGCCAGCGTTTTGTCCGGTTTAATGAATGGATATTTGCCAGAATATCCGAACGCAGAAAAACGGATGTGATATTTTACCCCAGGTAGGGTGTAGTAACATAATGTCATTTCCTAAATCTCCTCGTCGTCTTATGTTACGTTAGGTTAGGTTTTCAAGCCTTCCTTTAATTACCAACCTTTTCTGTTTAATGTTATTTTAATCTAATTTTATTTGTTTTTATGTCGCACAATTTTTTTCTCTTTGTATCTTCTGGTTGGTGACGTTGCGCGATTAAAATAATGTTACGTAAGGTGCTCGTCAGTTCTTAGCGGGAATTAAATTAATTAGCAAACTTGAACGTCGAGTGCGGAATTAGCGCTTTTAATGACACAGCTTCAGAGCTGCTGTTCATAAATGGTGAGTTAATGTGTTTTAGTAGGACTTATGATTTTCGAAAATAAACCGGAAGTTCCAAAACAAATTTACAAAATGTCTTCAGTAGGATAAACGGATTTTCTTATTAACTTTGATGTGAATAACATTAAATATCGTACAGAAAATAAATTCTTAAAAGGTAAAATCGCGAATTCAAAGAAGTGGCGACATCTTACGCTTTTTTTTAAGTGCAAGCAGCTGGAAAATAGAAATTTCACCCGCCATATTTGCCATCTTGTTCGCAATTTTCTCCAAATGCATATTTACGACCACGACTGAATGTAGGTATGCATGTAACCATGGATCATTCTTTCAGCATATGAATCACTCCTCAGTTTCCGAGTGCTTTCGTTCCATCGCATTCTCGACTTCATCTAAGCGCGCTTTGTTTTCCTCAATGTCAGAGCATATTCATTGCTAAAAATGAACTAGCACCGTACTGAAATGCAAAAAAGTACAAAACGTATATGAAAATAACGCACAAAAGAATATCTGTAGGTCTAGCTATTCACATTCATGCTTTGAGAATTGTATCTTCGCTTTCGTGATGCTTGGGTGCTATTGAAGGCCAAAGTCGCGTGGGGTGTGGGATGAAATCCAACGCGAGTGCAGAGGCAAATATAAATGGAAGTCTACATTTTGCATCATGCATGATGCTTGAAATACTCATGGAATGCTTTTGTTAGGGAAGGTATATACTTCCGTAGGTTATTCATTCTCTCATCGGTAATTTTACCTTTTAATGCGATAGTTTATGTGTATTCTTCCACTATCTTGGGTAATATTCAATAAAAAATAACTTTTAATGCCTCGCTTATGTACTATAATAATCTAAGTTATCAAATGTTTAGTACTATCGTTAAATTCTAACCTCATTCATATTTTATAAAGATAAGGAATTTGTACACAGATGGCGCTACTTATTTAATGGCTAATGATTTTCAGACTACAATCTGATAATATTCTCATAGGAGCTTCTTTATGGCAAATAAAAGCGCGGGTCGAATAAAGGATTAGAAGCATGACGTAGACGAAGTGTTCAAAGAAAGGGTTGTGTAGCATGTGGGGCGCGTCCTAGACCTTAATGCGTCACTAACCACACTCGACCGTTTGCAGACTGACGCCATGCCTGAATAATAAGCAATATTACACTAGGTGTGGTAGTTAAGAATTTAATTTGTATTGATTTAGGGTAAAGTACCCAATCATTGGCACTCTAAGAGAGAACTGCATGTCAGTCTGGAATTATATTGTCATAAAATCCCATTTACATTAGTTAATAAACAAAACATGTGACAAAATCAAAGAAAATACTTTAATCTTTGTTTTTTATAACAGTTTATAAGTGATTGAATAATAATAAATAAACATATGCTCAAAATCCAAAAGACTGCAGAAAATCCTATTATTGGCATAGAAAATCTCAATATTGGCCCCTACTCGTCTAATTATTGGCATGTAGTTCAAGTAGGAGATATGTAGGTACCTATCTATCAATAAAGTTGAAAATACTTACTTAACGTATAATTAAAGCAATATTGTATTAATTAAATATCTGCCTTTATTTACATAAGTAATCTATCTTATAGTAGGTATTTAAAATGTGCATAAAAATATTTTGTAATTCAATTTTTATGCCTAACATAAACACTTTTTCTTATTCAAGCTACTAGTTTCACTTTATCAGTACTTAAATGGCTATCCTTGAGA